GTTTAGTTTCCTTGCTTTTTGAATGGTTGTTATCAGTGTACCATAACTGAAATGTCAAATTTGGCTTTGCCAGTGTTTGGTAGCCTCTCCATTTATCAGTGTGTTGAAACTTTCATATGTCTCAGCATTTGCTGATCTGGCATTTGTTCAATTCTGTTTCCAGGAATTCAAGAAAACTAACTCCGACATGGAGGAAAGAAGAGCAACCAAGTGGACATACTGGAATCACTGAATAAGGAAAAATTCTTCAAAGATAAGAACTTTGAAATTGTCAGAAAGTTATTTCAAATGGTGGCTGAATTATGTCTAAATTTGCTAGGGAATAATTGGAACGGGAAAAAAATGATTTTATTGGTCTTTATTAGATGCTGGAAAATGGAAGACATTATCGTTTAATTTGCAAAGGAACATCACTCTGCTCGAAAAATCGCACACTAATTGTCTGGAACTGAAAAAAAAACAAACCTTTTCAATTAGAATTTGGGGAATGGGAACAAAGTACTTTAATTTGCAAGGGAACATTAATCGTACACTAAATGTGTCTAGACCATAGAAAAAAAAATGCTTTTTCAATTAGAATCTGGGAGTTTAATTTCAAACAGTTTAAACATCAGCCACCATTTGCCGATTCTTTTGCAGACATTATTGCGAACTAACTGTTGATAATTTTGATTTTGTCTTGATTCGATTAAATAGTTCTTTGAATCTCAAATATTGATGATTTTTTTTACAACTCATTCGATTATTTAGCTTTTGGAACCACGGGATTTTTTGATTGGTCAACGTTGTTTTTTCAAAATCTTTTCGTCTTGTCTGCAAAATAGTCGGTGCTTTATTCGCTGCTATATTTAACAACTTCAGTTGATGTTGCCTCAACTGTATAACTGTAGGGTGACAAGAGAATATGGGCTTTTTCGATATAATTTTGTTGCCCTAATTTAGTTTTTTTTTGCCTGTTGGAACCCTGACTGACTAAACACTAACGTACGACACCAAATAATCGATGGTGTCAATAATTACTTCGCTGAACATCGTCTACTGACAAACTGACTGGTTCTCTGCTCAATGCATTGATCAAAGTACAAATTACTGGTAGCGACTGTCTCTGATAGGCTGGTTCACTAACTTGGAACAATCGCCGTCACATTACGAACGAACTGACATGTTTCTAACCTACGTGAACGCCGAGGATTCGCTATACAAATCAAAACTGTCAACAACGAATTAGGTTTTTACTGGTGACAAACTTGAAGCGAGTCTTTATCACCAAACAGCCGACATATACCACGGTGAACTGTACCGAACAGTTACATAAACAACTTTGACTTGACTTGAGAACTACCCACACCATACCAACTACGCACTTAACTACAGGGTTCACTGAAGCCATTTAAATTTATTTTTGCAACGCAAAAGACATTTTGTTTCCATTTTGGCTTGTTTTCTTTTGTAAACGTCCGGACGGAGATTTTTATAGATGTCTATATTCTCTTGTCATATATTGGATGCTTGTTATAAAACCCTTGTTGCCTGATTCGGAGATTATTAGTAAGATTAAGAGGTTTAGATAAAGTCAGTATTTCCTGTTTTCGAGTTATACGGACCACAAAATAACACAAAGAACAACCAAATTGACCGCATAGTGTTTGTATCGATAACTGTTCCGATTTTCGAAAATAGAAACAACTGTAGTTATTAGTCGGTTGTATTATTGTTTGGTTTGATATCCAACTAAAGTCAGGATTTTCAGTTTTCTTATATAGAGGCCAAAAAATTAATAAACAAAACCAGCTGAAGAATAATTTAAAGATAATCAACTTTTCAATTTGTGGAATGTTAAAACTTGCTTTAATTAATTTGCTTCACAATTGTTTTGTTTATCTTCAAAATTTTAAACTGAAATTGCTTTCTTGTGCCAGACATAACCAAAGTAAAGAACTTAGAATTATTTTCCGATCCGATTTCAAACTGAAAGGACTATTTTCATTTCCTTTAAAAATTATCAGTCTCTTGGAATTCTATGATTAACTTGGTTTCACAATTGTCTCGTTTATCTTCATAATTTTAAATTATCATCGCTTTCTTGTGCCATCCATAGCCAAAACTAAGAACTTGAAAATTGTTTTTTGATAAAGAAAAAAATCTATTTTCAGTTAGTTTGCAAATCAGCATTGCTGTGGAAAGCTTTTCAGTTTTTCCTTTGCTATTTTACGTCAACAAAACGATAAAATAAAAACTGAAATGATTAACCCGGGTTCATAATTATCTTGTTCAACTTCATAATTCTAAATTATAATGCAATTTGAAAAAGTGTTTTCGGAGCAAATAAACAAGATTAAATCGCAAATTTCAATCGGTTTCATATCATTTCTGATGCAATTTTTATCGCTTTGTAATGGTTCCAGAATTGTTTTGCCCTCATTTCGTTGTGGTCCGTCTAACCTTTATATATTTCAATCAAATGCTCGAGTTTAAAAAGGGTGGGGTTTAACTTGCAGAGTATGATCGCGTCTCTTTGATCAGGCACTTGGGTTTTATGATAAGTATGTTGGGTATATTTATTTTCAAATGGTTAAAAACTTCTTACTGCCGGCTCTCGTTGTAACACAGGACATTGCGTTAAAATAAATTAAACAAATTATTAAGACACTAATTACGTTGAGCTGATTTCTAAATTGTTGAACTTATTGTTGAAATTGAAATAACCTGAAATCAGCAAAGAGTAAGATCACAAGCAAATGTTGCGTGGCTAAAACAACAGTTGAAATTGTCCTTATTACTCCAAAACTTAATAACTGTTGCTACAGATTGTTTAGGACGGGTGAATTAGAAAAACAACAGTTGAAATTGTATGTACTGCTCCAAAACTTAATAACTGTTGTTACAAATTTTTAGGACGAGTAAATTAATCAATAAAACAGTTGAAATTGTTTGTATTAATCTAAAACTTCAAAACTTCATAACGGTTGTTCCAGATCGTTTAGGTAGAGTGAAATTTCTTGACGTTTTTGGTTTAATTTGTCCTGTGGTGCAAACGAGAATCGGTTGATAAAGGTTTTTATCCGCAACATCATCTCGTACAAAAAGAGTTTCCAAAAACTAAAATATTTCGGCGAGGGATTTGTTCGGTTTTTCTTTTTTTTTTCTACGGGTAGGAAACAACTGGCGTTTTACTTTCAACTTCTTTGCACGAGGTGATGTTCAAATGATTTTTGGCGGGAAATTATAAGGGAAGCCATTTTGAAATTTTTTGTCCATAAAGTTGTCAGGGGAAACGCTGTGCAAANCCGCAACATCATCTCGTGCAAAAAGGGTTTCCAAAAACTAAAATATTTCGGCGAGGGATTTGTTCGGTTTAATTTTTTTTTCGTTTTTTTTTTAAGGGAAGGTAACAATTGGCGTTTTACTTTCAACTTTTTTGCACGAGGTGATGTTTAACTGATTTTTGGCGGGAAATTATAAGGGAAGCCATTTTGAAATTTTTTGTCCATAAAGTTGTCAGGGGAAACGCTGTGCAAATTTTCTCAAATTTTCCCGCCAAAAGTCTTAGTATATAGAGGGAGCATTTTTTCTTGACACCTTTTTAATTGATTAAATCGAATTTCAGTTAATTAATTAAAGAATATTAGAGATGAATAAAGTTAATTAAAAGACAAAAAGCACTTGTATGTTTATTGTTGTTGAAATATACAATATTAAAGATTACTAATAAAGATGACAAAGGAAACTTTATTGGTGGTATTTATTTTGACTTATACTATTTACAAATATAAAAAAATAAAGCAGATGGCAATAAGAGAATTCAACTTTATTAAGGATAGAATTACTACAAAGTGTACAGGACTTAAAATATTAACTTAAATTTTTTTAAAAAAATAAAAATCGGCGCATGCGTATTTTAGGCGCCTGTATTTTTTCTAAGTCTTTTGGCGGGAAATTAAAAAAAAATGAATGGACCTTACAGCAACTATAGAGAAAAAATTAAAAAAAAAAGAAACGGCGCATGCGGGATTTTGAGCGCCCGTATTTTTTCTAAGTTTTTTGGCGGGAAAATAAAATTTTTTTAAACAGATGTTACCAAGGAAAAATTACAGGGACAAAAAAATTGACATTTTATTTCTTATCCTTCAAGCAACAAATTTCAAAGGAAACTTTGTCAACGAATGAAAATTAAGTAAAGAAATTGAAAACATTGCTGGTTGCAGAAAATAATTTGAACTGCGATTTTCCGACAATCTTGAAGGGAAATTAAGCGAGCTCTTTACTCTACCTCTTAAGTCTTCCTAAACTTTTCTGTTATTATCTTCCTTGGTTGCGAATCCTGACTTGAAGCATCAAGGCATGCAACAACCTGGAAAGAAATGAAACAAAAAATCATTAAATACAACTATACTGAAATTAAAATGTCAACCACATGATCTAATAGATCAAAACGAACTTGGTAAACAAGTTAAGCGATCGATTTACTCGAAATAAGCGACGTGATAATTTCAGAATTGGACCGTCGTATGAAAACGATGTCGGATTTTGAATTCGTGTTTTAGTGTTAAATAGAAAATTTACCCAATAAGCGTAAGCAAGATTGTAGAAATGAACGTGAGGTAAATAAGAGTTTTCAGTTATTCGACGGTTTCACCCTGAAACGATTACGTCGCTCACTTCAAGTAAATTCATCACAGTTTTAGCCTAAAAATTCTTCTAAAATAGAATAATTTTTCAGAACCCGTGAAATAAATGTGTAAACAATACAATTCAATTCGACTGTGTCTGTCATTAATTCTGTCATCATGTTTTCTTTGCTTTTGGCTATGAAATAAGTGCTTTAAATTAAAATATTGTCTCATAGGCTTGTGAAATCTCTCGATAAAAGTTCTGAAGTTCTGCGTTAGGCTAGAACTGACACGACGGTGCGATGTGAAATGACTAAAATGCAGGAGCTTCCCAGGCAAGACCAAGATTCAAATTTCCCTTTTCAAATACTAATGAAAACAATCATCATTTATCGGTCAGGAACTGTCTTCAATGCCATTTCCAGTAACTTAAACAGGTAAGTGTACGCGAACGGAGCTCTTTTCATTTTCGGCACCAATCGATTTGCATTTTTGTTTTGCAAGTTGATTAATTTAAATGTAAAGCTTTGTAATCCCTCAAGATTTGTTCTTATTAGAAACCAAAGCGTTTACCATTTCCAATAAAATGTTGAAATTAAAGTTACCGTATACCTATATACGAACTAAACGTCAGGAGAATAAGTTTGAATTTCGCGGGTTTGCAGGCATTATTGGAAACAAATCTTCATTGAGCATGTTGTGATAATTTCTCCTGTTGTTTTGACGCCATTTTCTTTCAAATTGTATTTTGATTTGAGCAACGCTGAAAACTTGAATTAGAAAGTGTATTCAAGGAAAATTTCGAGCTAGTGAAGAACACTGTTGACTGAGAAGTGAAACCTTGGTCTTTTCTGGAGAGCCCCTCAATCTCAAATTATGAATGCTCCTTATTCATTGCTATGTCTTTCTTTCGATTTAAGCGCTGAGAATTTATTAGTCAGTCAAGACAATGCCAACTTTTCCAAAGAAGAAAAGTAAACCAATTCTTCGTTGTCTTGTTAATAACCATACCATTCCCAGAAACAGTAGCTAATCAAGTAAAATCAACTCACCTCTGTCCTGGCTCGTTTCAGTGTTTCCCGCTTTTCCAAATCTTCTTTAATTTCACACAGCTGCTGGGAATGTTCCTGGAAAGAGAAAATTACTGTGTAAATGCAAGCTGGAAGGAGTGGAAAATACCTAAAGCTCCCTTCTCCCACAATAACCAGACCTCCAAAACGATGAGGCCACCCTCTTAAAGAGTATGTTCTAATTTATAGCACTTATGTTACAGACGTTTAAAGACTTTTGATGCCAATTTAATGAATGGAGAGATTGTTGTATTGTTCGTACTGTTTGGTTCAGAGACTTATATCATTTGACCATTAACCAGCAATTCTAGTTGAATTACCCCTGTATATTAGCTAGCTAAGTACTTTTCAAGACAATAAAAGAATTTTCCTTGGTTAGCGTGTACTCCACATCAAAAAGTTGCATATTATTTTCAATTCATGAATAGTCATTTGTACATGTTTATAAAAGCTTTTTTTTTGCTTGATGCACAAACTTATCTTCAAATGAAATCAAAACATCAAGCCCACAGTTTACCAAGGTAAAAAAACACCAAGAAAAATAACAAATCAAAATAGGGCAAGGGTTTTGAAAGGATAATATTGGAATGGACTGGGAACCACCCTACCGACGAAATTGAAACCACAATTATGGGTACAGTTTCACTGCACTTATAGGCCGGGAAGATGTTTTCTGTGGATCTGCATTGATCGATAAAAGGGAGTTATACACTTACAGCTTCTGTATTTCTACATTTTTGACAGAAAATCCGACTAAGTGCGACATAAAATGTTCAGCCTGATGTTGAACTGTATAATTGCTCAGTACCAGCTTTCTTAAATGGTCTCAAGAGCAACAAAATAAGTTCTTGCTTTGTTGACATTGAATAACGTATCTTCAATGACCAGGATGCTGCCATCAAGTCCAAAATATTAAGAAGGAATCCACCACAATTTTGAGTAACAAGCAGACAAAAACTTTGTACCGAGGGTATTTACATTGTATTGCAAACTTCTGTCGACTGTTTTAAATATCCTCTTAAAAGATTTCATTTCTAACAACAAATATCGAAAACAAATTTTAAATTTTACATGAAACACTTGAAAGTACTGGTGAAATGAAACTGATGATGAAATTTTACCTGTGTTTGCACAATTTCTCTGAACTTTGAAANGTTTGTATCGATAACTGTTCCGATTTTCGAAAATAGAAACAACTGTAGTTATTAGTCGGTTGTATTATTGTTTGGTTTGATATCCAGCTAAAGTCAGGATTTTCAGTTTTCTTATATAGAGGCCAAAAAATTGATAAACAAAACCAGCTGAAGAATAATTTAAAGTAATCAACTTTTCAATTTGTGGAATGTTAAAACTTGCTTTAATTAATTTGCTTCACAATTGTTTTGTTTATCTTCAAAATTTTAAACTGAAATTGCTTTCTTGTGCCAGACATAACCAAAGTAAAGAACTTAGAATTATTTTCCGATCCGATTTCAAACTGAAAGGACTATTTTCATTTCCTTTAAAAATTATCAGTCTCTTGGAATTCTATGATTAACTTGGTTTCACAATTGTCTCGTTTATCTTCATAATTTTAAATTATCATCGCTTTCTTGTGCCATCCATAGCCAAAACTAAGAACTTGAAAATTGTTTTTTGATAAAGAAAAAAATCTATTTTCAGTTAGTTTGCAAATCAGCATTGCTGTGGAAAGCTTTTCAGTTTTTCCTTTGCTATTTTACGTCAACAAAACGATAAAATAAAAACTGAAATGATTAACCCGGGTTCATAATTATCTTGTTCAACTTCATAATTCTAAATTATAATGCAATTTGAAAAAGTGTTTTCGGAGCAAATAAACAAGATTAAATCGCAAATTTCAATCGGTTTCATATCATTTCTGATGCAATTTTTATCGCTTTGTAATGGTTCCAGAATTGTTTTGCCCTCATTTCGTTGTGGTCCGTCTAACCTTTATATATTTCAATCAAATGCTCGAGTTTAAAAAGGGTGGGGTTTAACTTGCAGAGTATGATCGCGTCTCTTTGATCAGGCACTTGGGTTTTATGATAAGTATGTTGGGTATATTTATTTTCAAATGGTTAAAAACTTCTTACTGCCGGCTCTCGTTGTAACACAGGACATTGCGTTAAAATAAATTAAACAAATTATTAAGACACTAATTACGTTGAGCTGATTTCTAAATTGTTGAACTTATTGTTGAAATTGAAATAACCTGAAATCAGCAAAGAGTAAGATCACAAGCAAATGTTGCGTGGCTAAAACAACAGTTGAAATTGTCCTTATTACTCCAAAACTTAATAACTGTTGCTACAGATTGTTTAGGACGGGTGAATTAGAAAAACAACAGTTGAAATTGTATGTACTGCTCCAAAACTTAATAACTGTTGTTACAAATTTTTAGGACGAGTAAATTAATCAATAAAACAGTTGAAATTGTTTGTATTAATCTAAAACTTCAAAACTTCATAACGGTTGTTCCAGATCGTTTAGGTAGAGTGAAATTTCTTGACGTTTTTGGTTTAATTTGTCCTGTGGTGCAAACGAGAATCGGTTGATAAAGGTTTTTATCCGCAACATCATCTCGTACAAAAAGAGTTTCCAAAAACTAAAATATTTCGGCGAGGGATTTGTTCGGTTTTTCTTTTTTTTTTCTACGGGTAGGAAACAACTGGCGTTTTACTTTCAACTTCTTTGCACGAGGTGATGTTCAAATGATTTTTGGCGGGAAATTATAAGGGAAGCCATTTTGAAATTTTTTGTCCATAAAGTTGTCAGGGGAAACGCTGTGCAAATTTTCTCAAATTTTCCCGCCAAAAGTCTTAGTATATAGAGGGAACTTTTTTCTTGACACCTTTTTAATTGACTAAATCGAATTTCAGTTAACTAATTAAAGAATATTAGAGATGAATAAAGTTAATTAAAAGACAAAAAGCACTTGTATGTTTGTTGTTTTTGAAATATATACTAAAGATTACCAATAAAGATGACAAAAGAAACTGTATTGGTGGTATTTATTTTGACTTATACTATTTACAAATATAAATAAATAAAGCAGATGGCAATAAGAGAATTCAACTTTATTAAGGATAGAATTACTACAAAGTGTACAGGACTTAAAATATTAACTTAAATTTTTTTTTTAAAAAAAAATCGGCGCATGCGTATTTTAGGCGCCTGTATTTTTTCTAAGTCTTTTGGCGGGAAATTTAAAAAAAAATGAATGGACCTTACGGCAACTATAGAGAAAAAATTTTAAAAAAAACGGCGCATGCGTATTTTGAGCGCCCGTATTTTTTCTAAGTTTTTTGGCGGGAAAATAAAATTTTTTTAAACAGATGTTACCAAGCAAAAATTACAGGGACAAAAAAATTGACATTTTATTTCTTATCCTTCAAGCAACAAATTTCAAAGGAAACTTTGTCAACGAATGAAAATTAAGTAAAGAAATTGAAAACATTGCTGGTTGCAGAAAATAATTTGAACTGCGATTTTCCGACAATCTTGAAGGGAAATTAAGCGAGCTCTTTACTCTACCTCTTAAGTCTTCCTAAACTGTTCTGTTATTATCTTCCTTGGTTGCGAATCCTGACTTGAAGCATCAAGGCATGCAACAACCTGGAAAGAAATGAAACAAAAAATCATTAAATACAACTATACTGAAATTAAAATGTCAACCACATGATCTAATAGATCAAAACGAACTTGGTAAACAAGTTAAGCGATCGATTTACTCGAAATAAGCGACGTGATAATTTCAGAATTGGACCGTCGTATGAAAACGATGTCGGATTTTGAATTCGTGTTTTAGTGTTAAATAGAAAATTTACCCAATAAGCGTAAGCAAGATTGTAGAAATGAACGTGAGGTAAATAAGAGTTTTCAGTTATTCGACGGTTTCACCCTGAAACGATTACGTCGCTCACTTCAAGTAAATTCATCACAGTTTTAGCCTAAAAATTCTTCTAAAATAGAATAATTTTTCAGAACCCGTGAAATAAATGTGTAAACAATACAATTCAATTCGACTGTGTCTGTCATTAATTCTGTCATCATGTTTTCTTTGCTTTTGGCTATGAAATAAGTGCTTTAAATTAAAATATTGTCTCATAGGCTTGTGAAATCTCTCGATAAAAGTTCTGAAGTTCTGCGTTAGGCTAGAACTGACACGACGGTGCGATGTGAAATGACTAAAATGCAGGAGCTTCCCAGGCAAGACCAAGATTCAAATTTCCCTTTTCAAATACTAATGAAAACAATCATCATTTATCGGTCAGGAACTGTCTTCAATGCCATTTCCAGTAACTTAAACAGGTAAGTGTACGCGAACGGAGCTCTTTTCATTTTCGGCACCAATCGATTTGCATTTTTGTTTTGCAAGTTGATTAATTTAAATGTAAAGCTTTGTAATCCCTCAAGATTTGTTCTTATTAGAAACCAAAGCGTTTACCATTTCCAATAAAATGTTGAAATTAAAGTTACCGTATACCTATATACGAACTAAACGTCAGGAGAATAAGTTTGAATTTCGCGGGTTTGCAGGCATTATTGGAAACAAATCTTCATTGAGCATGTTGTGATAATTTCTCCTGTTGTTTTGACGCCATTTTCTTTCAAATTGTATTTTGATTTGAGCAACGCTGAAAACTTGAATTAGAAAGTGTATTCAAGGAAAATTTCGAGCTAGTGAAGAACACTGTTGACTGAGAAGTGAAACCTTGGTCTTTTCTGGAGAGCCCCTCAATCTCAAATTATGAATGCTCCTTATTCATTGCTATGTCTTTCTTTCGATTTAAGCGCTGAGAATTTATTAGTCAGTCAAGACAATGCCAACTTTTCCAAAGAAGAAAAGTAAACCAATTCTTCGTTGTCTTGTTAATAACCATACCATTCCCAGAAACAGTAGCTAATCAAGTAAAATCAACTCACCTCTGTCCTGGCTCGTTTCAGTGTTTCCCGCTTTTCCAAATCTTCTTTAATTTCACACAGCTGCTGGGAATGTTCCTGGAAAGAGAAAATTACTGTGTAAATGCAAGCTGGAAGGAGTGGAAAATACCTAAAGCTCCCTTCTCCCACAATAACCAGACCTCCAAAACGATGAGGCCACCCTCTTAAAGAGTATGTTCTAATTTATAGCACTTATGTTACAGACGTTTAAAGACTTTTGATGCCAATTTAATGAATGGAGAGATTGTTGTATTGTTCGTACTGTTTGGTTCAGAGACTTATATCATTTGACCATTAACCAGCAATTCTAGTTGAATTACCCCTGTATATTAGCTAGCTAAGTACTTTTCAAGACAATAAAAGAATTTTCCTTGGTTAGCGTGTACTCCACATCAAAAAGTTGCATATTATTTTCAATTCATGAATAGTCATTTGTACATGTTTATAAAAGCTTTTTTTTTGCTTGATGCACAAACTTATCTTCAAATGAAATCAAAACATCAAGCCCACAGTTTACCAAGGTAAAAAAACACCAAGAAAAATAACAAATCAAAATAGGGCAAGGGTTTTGAAAGGATAATATTGGAATGGACTGGGAACCACCCTACCGACGAAATTGAAACCACAATTATGGGTACAGTTTCACTGCACTTATAGGCCGGGAAGATGTTTTCTGTGGATCTGCATTGATCGATAAAAGGGAGTTATACACTTACAGCTTCTGTATTTCTACATTTTTGACAGAAAATCCGACTAAGTGCGACATAAAATGTTCAGCCTGATGTTGAACTGTATAATTGCTCAGTACCAGCTTTCTTAAATGGTCTCAAGAGCAACAAAATAAGTTCTTGCTTTGTTGACATTGAATAACGTATCTTCAATGACCAGGATGCTGCCATCAAGTCCAAAATATTAAGAAGGAATCCACCACAATTTTGAGTAACAAGCAGACAAAAACTTTGTACCGAGGGTATTTACATTGTATTGCAAACTTCTGTCGACTGTTTTAAATATCCTCTTAAAAGATTTCATTTCTAACAACAAATATCGAAAACAAATTTTAAATTTTACATGAAACACTTGAAAGTACTGGTGAAATGAAACTGATGATGAAATTTTACCAGTGTTTGCACAATTTCTCTGAACTTTGAAAATCATTTTCTCGATTTTACATGGGAAATTGTTTTTGGTGTTATCTCGTGCAACTGTTTATATCTTTAGCGTTAGAAAATGCAAAGAGGACTGTGATAAACTTAAAGTTATTCTGGTACAGGTTTTTTTCCATTTAAAACTGAAATTGCTCGATTTCCTATCGGATTTCAGCTCAGTTCTATTTGCTGTTGTTATACATTTGCTTAAATGTTAGCTCTTAGAATTATATTTTGATGGCATCAAATCAATCTCCCCTTATTTCTAAAGCACGATCAGTTTCTTCTCATGAAACATTTTTCATTTGAATTTGCCTGAACCAATGGGCAAGATCTGATAAAACCTTCTGATATATCGGTTTTTCGTGTTTCTATTTTCCCTTTATGGCCCTGTTTATTTTAAAATTATCTTCACTTTGTTTGGCACATTAGTACGAATAATGCTGCTGAATTTATTTTGTGATTGTTCACAACACTACCAATCTTTCCTTGGAGCCCATAATCAAAAGAGGCCTTGATCTAGCATAATATCTATGAGAAAAACTTAGAGATAGAGCGAAGTTCTATTTACATCAGATCTGACAAAAGTTATTCGCATACAATCATGAATACTCAGTTAAAGTAGTTTCTGCGTTGGCTCGGTATCAAAGTGGGACTATCAAATGGTGTTCATTACGTTCAATGATCATGGTTATTGTATGTCAAGTCATGGAGAAGTGTAGCATATTTTGATTCACCCAAGTGAAGATATGATTTATACCGGTCTCTTACTATAAATTTTGAGAACGTGGTTCCAAATAAAGAAAGTATTACCTGTTTTACGGAACTGGGAAAATATAACAAAAGGGATCGAGTAACCCTCACAAATATTGGTAACAAGGGTTGGAAAAAATCATTCTATACACAGTTTGCCACTCCCCACCCCTGTGCAATGTTGACAAAATACTTTCATTTGACACATGTTTGCATTTTATCATTTTCCAACATTGAAAGGGGGATTGTGAGTGCTGACACTTATTCTGTAGGTATTACGGTTATGATTTCATGTTTTTGGCATTTTCCAACACAATTTGTCCCTGACTGTAAATTCCTAGACACCATAATCTTTCACCCGTGAAACAAAAAATGTCAACTGACCTGCTTGAAGATGTAACCGTGAAATCTCCTGTCTGTGCTTGTACATTTCCTGCTTTAACCATAGCCTTCTCCACCTGACATTATACTGAGAAGAGATATGTATAAATCAATACATGTTCTACTATGACTATATACATATGTAAGCGAAGGGACAACAAGAGCCCAGAAAAACTAGAGCTCTTTCCCTGCAATCAATTCATGAAACGTAAGTTCCTAGTTTTATTTTGAGAAACACACTTTACTCTCATAGCATATCTCTCCAGCTAACAGTATAATTGGTACTACGAAACGTCAGGGCGATCTCAGAAGAAAGCAGATCGTGGACTTCCAAAGCTCTCAGGAGGCTACTTTAACTCTTAACAGAAACCGGAAACATCGCCAGTGATGGCTACTTGGCTTGGGGCATTCACAGACCACCCCCTTCAGCTCAAAAAATAATATAGTATTAATGTAACTACTTTGTATAGGACCTGTTCATTTCAAACGCACAATTTTTCCAAATAGAATTAAGTCACATGTAAACAGCAACGTCGCACTAACATCTCATATGTGAATTACCTATTAAATTTGAGCAGAAAGAATCGAAGTGTAAACAGTGGAAGGACATTGAATCTTGGTCGATACTCGCACAGTACATGAGAGATTCCTAGAAAAAATACAAACATTTAATTAACTCAAAGCTTTCAACGCCGATTTGAACCATAACAAATCATTAAGCGACAAGTTTTGTCGCTTCCCGTGAGTTTAATTTGTG